ACAGCTTTTTAACACTGATTTTGTAAGTTATGTTTTTTGGTAACCTTGCACTTCTTTTCCCACCAAGTCTTATTTCTCTGATAGTAACATTGATCTAACCAGGTGATGAACTGTATGGTAAATAGTTTGGTTGGTCTGTTAGCTGTTAAAATGTTTATTATTTGATTTTTCTCACATTCCCCTCTAGCAGAGACACTGTTTCATTTCTCTGTAACAGAATGCTCACTTGTTTCACATGACAGTTACTTAATCACAAAGAAAAATTCTCCTTTCTTGTATGACAGTCTGATCACAGTAGCCTTCACATTTGTCCAAGCCATTTCTCATCCCCTTCATGCTTACTTTGGCACAGTTGAGCAGAATTTAAAAGCACTCTGTGGGGTAAATCTGTTCTTCCCCCTCCCCTAAATAGATCCAGGCAGTGCAAGCACAGCCACAACTCACTCTGTGGATGTGCGTGCACTGTGTGCCTGAACACAGCGTGTTCAAAGGAACCAGGACTAAATGTAAACTAAATCAGCTGCCATCCAGCAGGCTGAGAGCTGTCAGAGAAGCTTCTGACAGCCAACAGGAGGCACATGGCAGCTACAATAAGAGGACACAAGACATTGCTCTCCATGGAAGAGTGAGCCTGTATTACAGCCTGGTCATGTGCAGGATGCTCCAGCGCTTTCTTACTCCCTCTGTACTTTTATAGCAAATTGTAAATCATGGGTAGGGTTAAAAACTTGGTAGGTTAAACTGTTATGTTAACAGAATAACTGTCAGTAGAATATTTACATGAATAACAAATGATCCCCTAGAAGCTGATGCTCTTTGCATGGTCAGCTTTCAAAAATCAATTGTCTGACAAGCAAAGGAGCAAGAGTGAACATCACTCTCAAGATATTCACTACCCACTCTAGTGGGCTAAAATATGCCCTCAATGTTTATAGCAGAGCTGGGTTTCCAGCTCTGTAATAAACATTTTTCACCCATGGGAGCTGATAATGAGAGAGTAAAGTTTTGCATGACCAGCAGGCTTAAAAAAAGGCAAAGAGCACAAAGTACCCACCATTTTCAGAGGACATAAAATGAATTTTAAGCATGTGTCCCTAGAGCAGAATGTCCAAACTCCTCTCATTATGCTGTATGCAACTGGCTTAATTTTCAGAAATGCTCACAACTGGGACCTTTGATGTGCTTGGTTCCACTGAAAATGAGGAGGGATGCTTAGCTGGGAAAAATTAATTAGAGTCCTTTGTTAATGAGATAACCTGAGCCAAGACACTGGTATAACCACGTTGCATATATGAGTTTGGGACAGTTATAGAAAATTAATAATTTAATACGTTTAGCGATAAATTTTATTATGTGAAATCCTGCACATCCAGCTCCCATTTATTTTCCACCTAAACTCTTATAATTTACATCTTAGTTATTGTGCCCAAATGTACATGAGGTGTGAAATAAAAACAAAACAGCTGCACATCTAATTGTGCATTTTGCCAAAAATGCTATAACTTTCCGAAGAAAGCTCACAGTCATCTAATCATACAAAGAAAGGTACTATAAATGTAAACAGCCTCCTAATCTTTTCACTTGAGCATTCCCCTGAGATGAGCAAATTAATAGTTCTTGTCATTACTGGTGCAGAAAATATAACAGCAGATGTCTATATTCACTTGTCTAAAGTTCTTAGAAATTTATAAAATTTTCTGTCTCATGACGATTATTTGCTATGAGTTCTGTAGATTGATTGTTCATTACACTAAATGTGATTACCCCTTCTTGACCCAAGCAGTAATTGAGGGTCCTAAGGTGTTAGTGCTGGCACTGAGAGGGAAAAACCTGTTGAATAATCAGTCATTTCCTTGATGCAAACCAATCCGCTCCCTTATTGGCAGGAAACCTGAATATCTCTCCTTTCTTGTTGTCACTTTCTGCTTTGTTGCTTCATTTTTTTACACTTTGCCTTCCCAGAGCCATACTTACTATGTTTATTTCTGACTGTATCTCCGGCTTCCTATTGTTTGTTTGTTTATCTTTTTTATGCTTCTTTCTCTCATCTAGGCATATACACTATTAAAAAAAAGTCACTGCCCACCATCTCTTCTTCCCTCTGAAACTTCTTGTGTCATGGAGTCAATATTGTCTCATATTTTGCTTTGAGCCTGTGATTGGGTGATGCATCTTCTGCCTCAAGTAGCTAATTCCTCTGAGAAGCTTGGCTGCTTTTCATGGTCTAGCTGAGCAGAAAGCTATCACCACACTCACTAACATAACCATACCAATGCAGTTCCGGCTGCATTTCACAGTGTTTGCAACTTCCAGAACATGTTTTTATCCTTATATTAAATAAAAATGGTCTCCCTTCCTTTTCACCATCTGCTCTTTTACTTTTTGAAAGATTGCTTGCACTGCTCTTTCCTTTTCAAATATGTGTCTCCTCATGGTTTACAGAATCAGAGAATATTCTGAGTTGGAAGGCACCCACAAGGCGATCCTAGTCCAACGCCTAGCCCTGAACATGACTATCCCCAAGAATCACACCATGTGCCTGGAAGCATTCTCCAAATGCTTCTTGAGCTCTGTCAGGCTTGGTACTGTTTAGACTTCTCTCCTTTAGTGACATCTCATTAGTGTTTTTGCCTATTCTACCTTTGTGATACTTTTAGGTATCCTTTTGAGACGAAGAAAACGGAATCAACTTAACATTTCCACCTTTAATGAAGAGGATCTGTGATTGTTCAGGGCTCTGGACACTGTTAGTTTTATCCATAGAGATGACAAGGAACTCTATGTGGATTTGAAGAGGAGATATGGCATGGCTTACCTTTCAATGACACCACTTCTTGCAGCTTAAACAGTATTTAGAGTATTTCTGCTCATAAAATTGATACAAGTTATATTTATGTCTTGTCTACCTAAGTGTTTACATGTTAAAATATTGTCAATTATCAGCAATGACAGTGTCTGGTTCTCCTCTGGAGTATTACTGTATGTTTAATACTCTATATTATTATAGAGTATTACTATATGATCATTAGCAGTGTTATTAATGAGATAACGCTCAATATACTGTGCATCTCAATAAAGCTGACAACCAGCATCTAATACTGGTTTGCTTTTAAGGGGAAAAAGTGAGATTCAGGAATTCAGCTGAGATGTGGCACCCAGTGGTTCCAGCTCCTGTTAACTATATTTTTTCCCTAATCCAACAACTGTAAGGTAGTTAGGGGTTACAAATGGAAACCCAAGATAATTGTTGACTTTCAAAAAATGTTTAAAAAGAAGCTTGTCTTATACACAATGCAACATTGAACCAAGTGTTGAAGATTCACATTTTCAAAACAGCAGATCTTGGTTTACCTCCTGGAATGTTTTGTGTCCTTCATATCTCACCTGTTTATACACCGACTTTGCAGAGCCAAATTTTCCAGGCTCCATAGGGTAATGCTGTTTTCATTCAACCTTCTACCATTCAGACCATGAAGACTAACACAGAGCGTGATCAGAATATTCATGATCCGTGCTGGAGGAAAGGCTGCAGCCCCCTCTCCCCTCCTTGCCTTGCTGCCCTGCCCCGGTGGCTGGGTTGTGCTGGGCTGACTCGGCAGGGTCAGACAACAGAGATTTTCATCTGAGATACTACAAATAACCCGAAATTTGCAGTAAAATATGTGGGTATTCAAAGAAAAGAAAATGACAACCAAAAGCCCATCAGCTGCAGTGGCAGCGTCAGAGCAGCTGGGGCACATGCTGAGAACTTGCTGCTTTACATGACCCAGTGTTAATTTAATTTGCACTTGGCATTTGCTGGCCATAATGCAAGCTGTTAATTTGCATTTATGGATAGACAGTAGAGGTTATCAATCCCACCTAGCAGAAACTAAGCCCAAAACTTTGAGCAACTTTCAAGCCCTGTCCTAAAAATAAGTGCCGAGGAAAACAAGGTGTCCAGAGAGCATCACACAGGATAATGTAAAAGTGCAGAGTTGGTTCCAAAAGGTGCAGAAAATCCAGATATCAGGCATCAAAGGCATCACTATTAGGACTCAAAATCTTAGTTTCAATATGACAATTTTTCTGAATTTGGAATGTTTAAATTAACCCACATTTTCTCCTTCCACCCTACCCAAATTTTCCTGGGCAAGTGTCCTGGGCCAGACCGAATCTCTGCCCTGACTCCACAGGTTCCCACTGCCTGTCAGACGGCTCTCCTGCCTCCCCCAGCGATGAGCGGAGAGGATGCAAAACGCTCAAGCCCCACTCAGAAAGGGGAGACTGCGGGATGTGCCGAGCTGCGCCCCGAGCCCTGCTGCCTGCCCGCACTGCCCGCCGCCCAACCTGTTGCCCGGGTCCCAATGTCACTCGCCAAACGCAGAGACGGCCGGGGACAAGAGAGGGAGAGCGGGTGCAGCCCACGCGTGGCGCGCCCGGCGCACGGAACCGCTGCCCACCCGTGACAAGAGAAGGGAGCGCAGCCCTCTGCCCGCTGCGCACCCGTGACAGGAGCAGGGAGCGCAGCCCTCTGCCCGCTGCCCACCCGTGACAGGAGCAGGGAGCGCAGCCCTCTGCCCGCTGCCCACCCGTGACAGGAGCACGGAGCGCAGCCCTCGCCGACACACGCAGCATCAGCCCGGCGCCGGGCTGTCCGTACAGACAAACTCCCGTCGTGGGGAAAACCTTGCCGGAGCGGAGCTGCGAGCGGCAAATGAGCGAGCTGCGCGGGTACGGGGCCGTCTCTGGCGGCGATTTCTGTCCCCTCGGCACCTGTCCGCGCTCCCCGGCCGCACGCCCGCACCCTCGCCCGCTGCCCCACGTTTGCCCCGCAGCGCCGGTGCCCGCCCGGCGCTCCCGGCGCTCCTCGGCAGCCTCGGCGGGCTGCGAGAGCGAGCGGATTTTCAAGCGGGCTGCGTGCCTGCCCCCACCCCGTCCGCCCCCTCCGCACGCAGGGAAGGCGAAGGAAAAAGTTGCGCTCTCCGGCCGCCCACGCCTCGCTGTCCGCCCCGCGGTACCTGTGCCGCCGATGCCCTGCCGGGCGCTCTCCAGGGGGAAGATGCCGGCGCACTTCTCCCGCTCCACCTGCCCGCCCAGGCACAGCTCCGAGATGATCTGCAGCGCCTTGTGGCAGAGGCTGCCCACGCCGTCCTCCGCCGGGAAACTCATCGTGTGGCCCGGCCGCCGCCGCTAGGCCATGGCCGGCGCGGGACGGCTCCGCGCCCGACCCGCGCTGCCTCCCGCGGGGAGCGGAGCGGCACCGAAAAATAAACAGAGGGGGAAAAAAAATAAACATCCACTTAGCAACGCCTTTTGTGGCTCCGGGCTCCGGCAGGCGGCTCGGCCAATGGCAGCCCGGCGCGGGGGGCGGGGGGCCCTCGCATCCCCCGGGAAACTTTTCCTTCCCCCGCCCCGCCGCCCCGCTCGGTGCGGAGCGGTGGGCGGAGCGCTGTCCCCTCCCGGCCGCAGGACCCCGGCCCCGGGGACAGCGGGGACAGCGAGGACAGCGGGGACAGCGGGGCGCTCGGGGCGCAGCTCCTCGGCCGCTCATCGCGCCGCCAGCCCGAAGCGGAGCCGGCTCCCCACCGCTCCGCTCGTTCTTCCCCCAGCGCTTTTTCCGAGGTGACCTCGGCGCGCTGATCTTCAGCGCGGGCTTCAGAGCAACTTCATTGACCAAACCACCGTCTCCACTCCGCTTCTCCGCAGCGGACGGTTGATTCAGTCAATTTCTTTAACTTCTAAAGGAGTTACAGGAACCTTACGGTTGTCTGGTCTGTTTCCTCTACAAATTCTGTAAAGTTGGGTTATTTTATAGGTAAAAAAAGTTGCGGCTACGATGTATGTCTGAATATACTTCTAAAAATCAGCGCAGCGTATACCACTAGTGGTTGTTTCAGTTATTGGCTGTGGAGCTGAATCAGGCTTCATCTGTTAACTTGTTCATCTACTTACTGAAATTCTGACACAATTTTTTGTTCCTGAGGGAAAATTCCTCTAGTTCGGTATCATACATATGTCTTGCAATGCTTAATTCTAACTAGGCATAGATGGAAGGGTGTCTGCCAGCAGTTTACTTAGCAGCACTGCCTGTATTCTGCTGCTTGGGTGTCTTGGTTTCATAGGCACGAGAAATTAACTTCTGTACCGCTGTGCTTTTTTTCCCCTCTGGATTTTGAATTTTTTATCTGTTACCTGTAAATAAATATCTCTAGCAAACTGTCAGGTTTAACAGTTGAAAACTTTAAAACCATCCTTTGATAGCTGAATTACAAAATAAGAAAATGAATTATGATTTCAGTCTTAATTCTGAAATTCTATATTTTATATAGCATAGATACTTGTTAAAAACTCCAGAAGATACTTCTAAACCCCAGCCTTTTGGTGGTTTGAAGGAGCACGCATTTATACAGATGAATCCATGCACATGCACTTTTCACAATCTTAGGGAAGTAGTAGACTGAGTTGTACACAAACTGCAACATCAACACAAAATCTGTTCCACAGAGACTTTTTTCAGAGATATAACACCTATTTCAGAAATATCAGATGCTACTAAAGAAATTGTTCCCCATTTAACGCCTTTCCTGAAACTAGCACTGTCAAAACCCTTTGTTAATGCTGCAAAATGTTCTGTCAAATCTTAGAATGTGTAGACTATAACTAAGCAGGGTACAGAACTGTGGAGGTCTATTTGAAGACTCCTTTCACCCTCATAGGGAACTAAATCTGTATAATTATTAAAATAGTCTTGCTAGCAATGAAAATGTATGTAGATATTTTCATTAGAGTGAAGGCAACTGCTGCCTACATCCAAACTTCAAAATATGAACATATTTACTGTCTGTGTGACATTTACAGTCCTGTTCCCAAAATTCTGTCATGCATCACCAACTAATAATTAAGCAGTCTGTTTATCTTTGAGACTTACCCAGAATTCTAGCAAAAGCTAACAGAAGACACATATACATAGAAAGGGTCTTAATCAGAAATTGGTATTAATGAGAGCAAGGACTGCATTTAAAGGCTGAGACCTAAGCTCCTTCACATTTGAAAAAGACTATGCCCATGAACATATAACACAGCCCATTAATGAAATTTTCTGTCTCTGAAATGAATGGCAGCTTTGCCACTGATTATAGTAAAGTTCCACACATAGACCAATTTGCTATCCCACTTCTTTATTTATGTACTGAGACTTTGGTGCATTTCTCTATTGCTTGTCTTTGCGCACAAGAACTTCATTTCAGTGAAAATCACACCACCTTGGTGTTACTGATATTATTGATATATACATAGATGCAAATTGCACAAACAGCTGTATTCTACAGTAAATAATAAAAAAAAAAGTCCCCTGTTTTTGAAGATTGTCAGGTAGGTATCTGGAAGTGGATACCAACTCATCTCTCTTAGATGTCCTAAATATTAAAAAAAATGCTTTTAGATATATAGCAAACACCAGCCACACTAAACAGTATTACTGTACCTTTATCAGAGGCATCTAAATTATCTAAATCCTGTTCTTCAGTAAGTAGCATGGATATAAACTTAATTAATAGAATAGTTTTTGTCATTCTAGGTACTATGAGATTCGTTACACTAGAAGATTAATGATCCTTTTGGTGAGATATGCTGACTAACTTGTCCTAAACCAGTTCCAGAAACAACTTTTATTTTTGGAATCCAGTTATTGATGAAGAAGATTCTTTTCTATTGAGGATTTTGGTCTTAAATATAAATTCAGATTACCAATCATGGCATTTTTCTCCAATATGTTCCTTCAGTGAAAACAACTTTTTCTGCATATGGAAGGACATAACAGCTTGTTTTCTAGCTACAACTCCCACTGCTTTGATTTTCAATAGCCTGGCAATTTTTAAATTAATGTGCAGATGCATCGTGTGCCCTGGTATCCACAAAGACCATTAATTTTCCCTGTGGGAGTGGTCTCATAGGGTGTTTTAGGGCACAGTAACCTCTTGCCTCATGGGTTCCAGGCAGTGCCATCAGACCAGACCATACCAGCTCTTGCTGTTCTGACTGCTGGTCATTACCAGGTTCATACTGCCTTGACAGCTTCCTCTTGACTACGGGAGAAATTTCCTCTTTTTTAAAATTAATTGCATGTATTCACATCCTCATGTTGTCCAAGAAGTATCCAACCAGAGGTAAGGGTACTATGCTCTGGACAGGAAAAACATGGCAAAATGCTCAGTTTTGTGAGAAGTATCCTTTAAGGAGGACTGTGTTTATGGTTTTGAAGATTAGGCAATATAGGTAGCCTATATATAAACACATAAAATTTTTGGCCTTGGTCTCCTGATTTGAAATCCAATAAGGATGCAAAAAAAAAAAAGCATTGAGGCTGGGGGAAAAGAGACATTTAAGCATTCAGCTTTTAAGAAGTTATGAGTAGAAGAAAAGATGGAAACTATGGGTTACAAACACGGTTTACCTTTGCGACAATTACAAATACATTAAATACATTTCCCCTCCCTCCCGATAACATCTCTGTAAATTCCTTGTAAACAGCAAAATAAACCCTGAAACATTAAAGATTGCTTTACTCTATCTACATGTTTTTAATTCTATACTTTTGAGTAAGAAGTGAAGAAAAGGTATACAGCAGTCCAGGAGCCAGTCAAAGCTGAACGTTCCTAACCTGCAAATTAGAAAGGAAGTCTAACATAAGCACATATGAACAGGGACTCTTCCTTAGTTAAAGCAGTAATAATAATAAAAAAAAAAATAATTTTTAAATTATTTTTTCTACCATTCTTATATTTTTTTATTCTTGCTTCCACTGTTTCATAATATGTGGTACTACAAAGTCCTCTTCTGAGTTGCTTCTTCCAACTTCTAATTTACTGTGAATAAAACTCATAATCATAAAGAGAGCTCCCCATATTTTGTCCAAACAGATGCTTCTTCAATTTTCAGAAATACTGAGCAACTGTTACTTTATTTTTTTTCCACTTGATTTGGTGCAGTTGGTACTTAAGACTACAAATCTGAGCAAAGACAGTCCTTCAGGACCTGCACAAACAGATGAAGCCACTTCTGAGAGCCAGCAGCTAACAATGTTGGCAGTTTTGTGAAAACATTTTTAAAAGATATATAGCTTGGAAAAATTTATGGAGATTTAATATAAGTTCTGCAGAATAATTGGTTAGGGACAGAGGACAAAGTGATTACTACTGTATTTTATTTCAAATTGTGTTTTTTATGTGATACATGACATTGACAAATTTTTGGTGTCTTGGAGCCCTGCATCCACTGTGAGTTGTTGTTTGCTTTTTAGCTACTAGCAGGTAATTACATAAAATCCCTTTTTAACTGCAAAATCCTAAGCATGGGGTAAGGTGTTTTTTATGGCTGTTTGAGCAGGAGGAATGGCAGAGCAGCCAGCTGGGAAGCCAGCAGATCCCTAGAGCTCATCCTGGCTTATGGGGAGAATGGATATAATTTGGTCCTCACTTGGTGTGTCCACTGAACAGACTGTTGGAAAAGGTAAGAAGGGCAAATTGAAGACAGTTTTCACCTCTGATAGGTGTTTTTTTTTAAATTTAATTTAATTTTATTTTTTAAACCAGATGAAGTATGTTTGGGTCCAATCAACCTTTCATATCTGCCATTTCCCAGCTGAAGGGCTTCCTTGTCTCCTCTCTGTGGCTGTATCCACACAGCCTCTCATTTATAATTTTCACCTAATTTTTGAAGCAGAAGAAAAGCAAGGTCACAGAGAAGCAACGTGTTTCAGCATGTGTGTGTGACATGGTGACTTAAAAGGACATGTTCTATTGAATCATAGCATCTCTGTCACCATTTTTCTTCCTGTTACCTTCCCTTCCTTCTCTTAGTTGCTCTTACTGAGGAATGAGGTTATAACTGGCATTAGCAAGCTTTCTTCAGCTTCAGGACAAGATATCACACTGAAATAATGATTTGCCAAGTTGGTTGGTTTGAAGAACCCATAGAATAACAGGAAAAAAATATTTTTCTTCTCTCAGCATACTTTTCAAAGTTTTTCCTGAAGGCCAACTTTTTAAAAATACTATACTCTCTGGTAATACAAACCAACCCTAAGCTTTGGTGAAATAAGGTATTTTTTGCTACTAGAATTGTTCAGTGCAGCCAGGTTTTGCTGATTAATTTGGGCTATTCCTCTGCACCTAATGAATTTCTGTCTCTGTGTGCCTTCTAGTGATACGGCTTGTGAGTATGCTCCTTAATGATTTTCAAGCTCTATTATCAACCTGAA